ATAAAAGAGAAGGGAATGAGAGTTGTAAGCACCGAGAATTGTATCTCAGCCTTACAATAGATGATGTTTATGAATTTAAACTTGTCAAACTTTTACTATATATACATGAAAGAAGTATTTAATATTAATATAGTATTTAATAATAAAAGGAGATATTACCCATTCATGAGAAGTGTAAGGAGGTCAATCACATGAAGAAAAAAACGTTTGGAAGTGTTGGAATCCCTGCTCCTAGCTCATGTAAAAAAAAAAAATTACATGTTACACTCACAAGTCTCGAGCCTTCAAAATGTTGAAAATTGAATATTATATATCCTTCTTTTTCTAACCCCATCTTTTAAATTCTCTGTTTTTTTTTTTTCTCATAAAAGATTTAATTTGATTTTAACCATGTCATTTATTTAGATTAATATTTCATCTTTTACCCTAGTTGCCTTCCTGATCCACTGAATTCAATTGCTAAGCTATAGCCATTAAATCTACCTCTATTCTCTCCACAAAAACCAGACAGTTTCAAACATGTTCTTGATACTTTAAAAAATATTGTGGCTTCCAATTTGAATTACTTGATCATAGAATTACGGTCCTGATACTCAAGGACTGATAAGTTGTGTCGAGGTGTGGGATTCAATAAAAATTTTAATAAAAATATTTTTAGGTGAAATTTCCTGTTAAAAATTATTTAATAAAAATTCAAATTGATAGATTGAGAATTCAATGATAAAATTAATAATGTGAAAAAAGTTATTGAAAATAAAATTTATAATTCAAAATTGATTAGTATTTATTTAATTGTAAAAATTTTATCAAAATTTTTAATAAAAATATCTATGTAAAAAAATATCAAAATTAAAAAATTTTAAAATATATACACTTGATATATATAATAAAAATTTTCAATCTATCTATTTAAATTTTTTGTTTAGTTATTTTACATAAAAAAAAAAAAAACTCATAAATTTCACTTGAACAATTTCATTTAAATCTTTTCCACGTATATGTATACTATTATTGCATAGTTAGGTAAATGAGATAAAAAATTGGGGGCCATCACTTGAAATTTGGGTCGAAATAGTTATCATACCGAACACCCAACTTTTGTCTAGGTTTAAATTTAGAAAATGAAAACGATTGTACTGTAATCACGAGGAGAATATCCCAGTTTTCATCATATTCTTTGACTGGCTTTGTTCGCCCTCCATATGGAAATTATGTGAATGATTGAGTTATTTTTATCTTTATCTCGATCAACTTAGTCAAATTTAACTAACAAAATATTTATTCATCGTACATCAGATGATGGGAAAATAAATATATTGAAAATGAAAGAAAATGAAGTAAAATGAAATACCCTGAAGAAGCAGTGAGTTGGCACTTGGGGACGGTTTTAGTTTCAGTTCAAACTAGAAATGGTTTTATTGACTACCCTTCGATATGATATATAGGGACCTGATTCTATGTTCCACAAATTTCAAAACAGTTCATCAAAATTTTCAAGGGAGCTCGGGCAACAAATTGATGCTACTCTTTGACCTCCTTATTAAGAATACTTGAAAGTAATGCTGAATGTTTAAGCTGTTTTATTTTTATTTTTATTTTTATGTAAATGGATAATTAGAATGATGTAACAGACCTGGACTGCTATATGAATGATCATAGTTTCAACATTTCAAGCAAGGAAGTTCTACTGGTCCTGAAATAAACTAAAGATATTATTGTCCATATTGAGAGTGGACTGAGTCTATGCATGTTGGATTGATTTCAGGTACTACTTGAAAGATGCAGTGCTGGAAGGTGGAATTCCCTTCAACAAGGCCTATGGTATGACCGCATTTGAGTACCATGGCACAGATCCTAGATTCAACAAGGTTTTCAACAGGGGAATGTCTGATCACTCTACCATTACCATGAAGAAGATTCTTGAGACCTATGATGGCTTTGAGAGACTCAAAACACTGGTTGATGTTGGCGGTGGTACTGGAGCCACACTTAACATGATCGTCTCCAAGTACGCTTCGATAAAGGGCATCAACTTTGATTTGCCTCATGTTATTGAAGATGCTCCAGCTTATCCTGGTATGACGTTATCCACGCTTCACTAGTCCTTTCAATAATAGGTTTTAAATATTTATGAAGTCACGGTGGAACTGGATTGCAAAATGCATAGTAAGCAGTTTATTGACCATTCATTTCAGAATGTGGGCTGAGATTTGTATAATCATAGAATGAATTTCTTGAATTCCTCAATGTTTTTGAATTAAGATTGGGCTCTGCTTTGGCTGTAGGTGTGGAGCATGTTGGAGGAGACATGTTTGTAAGTGTTCCAAAAGGAGACGCCATTTTCATGAAGGTGAGTTTGAATAAAATGGAAATTAACTCTGTTTGCCCTACCTCATCATGTGATTTGTTGATTAGTTGGATCAACCATCTGAGAAATAATGGAGCTAATTGATGACATGTGGAATGCCCCACTAACTCTCAACTTGTTCCCCTCTGATTCAACTCTTGGGAGTGTTTCATTCACCTGTCTCTAAAGAATTTTCTTTTTTCCCATTCCCTGTTTATTTAGTGGGGGTAAATAAGTTATTAAAACAACGTACATTCTAATGCACTGCTCCAGTGATTCAAATTAATGCCTGAACTTCCTTTGTGAGGTGAAGGGAACTTTAAGCAGAGAAATTCCATCTTTTATAGTAGGCAGAGTGCATGCACTAACCATGATGAAAAACATGGATTAGGAATTTTATTAGCCTGATCAACCATGATTTCTGCTCCTGACATGTATGTGCTGATGCAGTGGATATGTCACGATTGGAGCGATGAACACTGCTCTAAATTTTTGAAGAAATGCTATGAAGCCTTGCCAGACAATGGAAAAGTGATTGTTGCCGAATGCATTCTTCCAGATTACCCAGATCCTAGCCTTGCCACAAAGCTAGTTGTCCATATTGATTGTATCATGTTGGCTCACAACCCTGGTGGGAAAGAGAGGACTGAGAAGGAATTCGAGGCCTTGGCTAAGGGTGCAGGATTTCAAGGGTTCCAAGTGAAGTGTTGTGCTTTCGGCACTTATATCATGGAGTTTCTCAAAAGGGTTTGAATCTGTCTGGGTTGCATGATCGACCATCACTTTTGGTTTCTAAGCTTTTTGTGATTGTCTCACAGGTGGCTTTCCGGAGTACATACTTCTTGCTCACTTAAAACAATAAGAGTGAGATTTCATGCTTCTTGTGTAAAATAAGTACTATTTTCTACGTTGATAAATTTACCCCCTGCCTTACTGTAACTATTAAAGAAAGCGTTGATTAATGTCTCCGAAAGGCATAAAGCCTCAACTTTGAGAACCAATCGTGAAGAACCTGATTGCAAAAATACGCATTTTGTTTGCTGCCATTTTCCTTTACCAAAACTTGGGAAATAGTTTTCAAATTATCTTGGTAGCTTAAAGCATGAAATAGGGCCAACCAACTGATTGAGTGATAGCCCATAGCTAAACCATGCATGGCTGCTCGTAGTTAAATATAGTGTTACAAATCAGAATGATGGAGATGGTTAAACTGTCTGTGCAGATAGATATTGCAACTGAGATGAAGAAAAAGTAGAGACCATTGACACCACAGATTCTGGAAAAACTGGGGGGGGGAGGGGGAGGGAATCAATAAAGAAAAGAAATGGGCTTAACAAGCAACCCTGTAGATTTTTGGGTCGACTTCACCCTTTTATGGTTGCTAAAGTTTTAACGATACTTTTATCATTAGGAGTCAAGAGTAGTTGAGACTCGAGAGGTAAATTAGAAGAATGTTATGCGATCAGTTCATAAATAAATTTAATTTTTGTTTGTTTATATTCATAAACAAATTTATTTATAAGCTTGCTTAAAAATTGATTTAAAAGATCATTTATAAAATTTTTATTATTCAATAGTAATAAAATTATTATATTTTATTATTATTTCATTTATTTCTAGATATATTTATTGAAATTTATAATTGACTTGTTAATTTGTTTTAAATTGTTTGAATATAATTTGTTCTTTATTCACGAATATATTTTTAATTGTTCACAAGCATGTTCTGATTATATGTTTATTTAATATTTATGAACAAGTTTTATGTAACATATACAAACTGGGCTTGATTAAATCCCATTTGTTCTTAAAAATAAACGAACCATCACAAACAGAACCGCGTTTCGTTCAAGCAGGGCTCGTTCACAGCACGAAAAAGAAGAGAAGCTTGGGGAAGTATCAGAACTTTAACTAATGGCACTCTTTTTCCTTGAGGGCCAGACATTTAGGACGAGCATGGTCTTCGTCAAGGTATTCACTCCATAAAGTTGCACAAGTCAGTATAATTAAGACTCTCAATTTAACAGATGCCGATATTGCAAATGCAAATTGTATGAAAATGCTAAAAGCATATGTCATGTTAAGTTCTAATACAAATATACAGAAGTAATTCAGATTCACCAATTATCAAATCCGATTTCGAGATCCAGTTAAGAAAAGATGCATTGTAACTTAGGGAATGTGGAGGCTAGCAACCTCGGAAGAAACTACACTGCTAGGCTAGGCAATAACTTGTTCTTATACGGATCCTGAAAATGTTGACAAGTTCATATAATGTCCCAAGATATCCAAGTTTTACTGCTGTGAAATTTAATTTTCCACTTTAACACTTCCTATGGCTGGGTAGGTTCAAATTATCTTAGAACATTCACAAAAGCAAGAACCATTTCATGACAGATAATATATGATTGTCCTGCATACAACCATCTTATGACAGATAATATTGTCCCGCATGCTAGAATACAATAATATAGGGAAATGCAACATAATTCCATGCTTCTTTGTGTACCAAGAATCGATCCACAATCAACTGAAATTTGGAAGTCCTACGTATGGATAAATGCAATATGATGCATTGAAAAATGGCGCATTGCCATGAATAATTAAGGGGTGTTCTAGTGATGCTGCAGTTATGCATTTTGGAAAAATAAAACCAAAACCTCTTGTACAGCAGAATGCATGGCATTTTAACTGGCAGCAAGGAGGCAATAAGTGACAAATCGAGGAAATTATAGAATAAGTATCGAAGTGACAGGCAATAAAGCTGGTATTAGTTCTTGAAAAGTTCCAAACAACGTTCTTGGTCCAGGTTCCTGCTCCAAAACTTACTGTAATACTCTGCATAAGTAAAATCCCTGTATACAGCTCCATATCCATCTTCTGTGAGAGGTTTTGCAGGGCTGATCAAGGCATGGTCACAAGGGCAGAGGAAGGAAGCAACCGATATCCTTTCCTTGTCAGCATTCACAACGGCCCGATGCCACACGCTCTTGTACCTCCCATTACTCAATGCCTGCAATCATGGATGTCATAACTCAACCGATTTACTAGCAAGCTTGCATATTGGCATGCTAAAACTAATGATCATAATTCAATTTGAAAACTGAGAGTAAGTGTAGTTCAGAAGGCAAAGTAGTAGTGTTATATTACCTGTAATTGATCACCAATGTTAATGACAAAAGCATTTGATTGGGGATTAACAGCAACCCATTTGCCGTCTTTGAGTACTTGAAGGCCCGCAACTTGCAAGTCTTGAAGTAAAATTGTAAGAGCATTGGGGTCTGTATGTCCAGGCAATCCATAAGTCAGTTCTGGCTCCGGACATGGCGGGTAATAGTTCACAGCCATATGCTGCCCTTGCTCCCCAAGAACATTCCTTATGTAATCTTTTTCCAGGCCTAAGCTCTCTGATATTAATTCCTGCAATCTATACCCAAGTTCTCGAACTTCTACGCAGTAATGACTTACAGTTTCCCTATCAATTCAACACAACTTGACATTTAGACATTAAAACTCTCTTTCTTTCTCCTCCATGGAATTTATCAAACATTTAGACATTAATTGAACTAAGAAGGAAGAACATATGTATGTATTTATCTGCTTATAATTAATTCTATTATGTTTTATCTTCTTTGTTTGGGGCCCTTACAAGATTACTGGTCTTATTTTCAAGCATTCTCCACTACTAGAACAAAAAATGATTCACCCTTCATATCTTTGGGGCCAGCCTCATAGTTGAAAATACTTTACTTGACAAAAGAAACAATGATGATAAATGTGGGAAATGAAAGAGTGATATGCATAGATGTCCATGTAATTTGGCTGATAAGGTAATAGTTTCAAGTAGTGTTATCAGCAAAGATTTGTTCATTTTTAAGTCTTGAAGTGAATAGAAATCCATGGGTACTGTAAACTCTCAGCAAGAAACCCATATTGACATTAATAATGGAGAAAATAAGGACCATTACAATGGGCGCACTCGGAGAAAATTCAAATTTGTCACCAACATGATCATTTTCTAACCTACTATTGTATATCTTTTTCACAAAAAAAAAAAAAAGAAGATAGTGTAATAATATGGGTTTAGTTCTGATTGGAGAAGTGTCTCTTTCAAGAACGGTGCAGTTCTTTATTGACCAATAATTATGCAAAAATAAATACTGTAACAAAAAAAAAAACGATTAAATATGCAAATGAAGATGATGATCAAAGGTTTTTTTTTTCCCACAGTGATGATGATCATAGTTTGAAACGTTGATTCGACTAATAAAATCTTCATCTTGAATTATTGATGCATGGAGAATGCCAAGCAATCGAGAAAGCTCATCAGGAATTTATAAATTATAGCCCCCCAAAGGCAATTTTCAAACGTCCAACTCATCAGCAATATCACAATTGTAGTTTATAAATGAGAAAATAAGAAAAAGAAATTCAAGCCACCGTCACTTGCAATCCTAACTTATTCATTATTGAAAATTTAATACATTTTCATATATGAGGTTCAATGTATTTACTACATTATATTTTTTTGGGAACTGTTAACTGAATTTTATATTTAAGAAAAAATATAATAATATTATTTCATTTAAATTTAGTGAAAATAATGTATTAAATGTAAAACTTTTAATAATATTTTAATTATTTTTAAAAAGAGTGTCTGTACACGCACGTAAACCAAACCCTATATTTTTTTAGCCAAAAAATTTCCTTGATTTACTTATTCTTATTTTAAATTATTTTTCAATTATCAACACATTTAAAAAAGTTAGTAGTATTTTTCTTTGGTGGACTTTGAAGACGGCATCCCAATTGTTTAATGAACAAAGATTGAATATCTAATAATAAAAAACTAATTACTCTTTTTTTTAATGAGATGCATTTTTCAAATGACAAAATCATGAAAAAGACTGTGAAGTATCCGAAACAAACAATATCTCTTATCAAATGTAATTAAAATCCAAAAATTCTAACATCAACGCTAATAATAATATTAAATTTAACAAAATTGATAAAATGTTATAGGCGCCGACTCAGCCCTTCTGCAATCACTTTTTTTTTTATGCAATGTAAATATCTCCAGACAAAAAAAAAAGTGATTCCAGAAGCGCATGAGTCGGCCCCTTGTAATAAGAGCTTAAAAGTTAGTCGGAGCCCTCAGCCATGGGCCCAAAATTCAATTAATTTGGGTCTCATTTATTCAATCTGATTACGTCAACACGGCTTTTAGCCCATGATGTCACTCCTGTTACAGTTTTCTCTCCTTTTCTACGCGTGGGGCTGGCTCGGACACCGCCCTATGACTATTTGACAATCGGCTGTTTTCTCCGCTTGTGTTGCCGTTCACTACGTTACTGTTAGGTAATAAAGTCTAAAAGTGAAATTGGGTCCAATTTTGCTCTTGCTTATAAATTTCTCTGACTATGTCAATGAAGCACTTGATTATCTCTCACTGACCTGTTTGTCCGCTACCTAGAACAGGCCATGAACCTCTGGCTCACGATCCACCCATTTTGATGTGTGTCGACATCCTCTTATAAACGCCAGAACTGGTACTATTCGCTGCTCGTTCAAGTTGCTATCCAGACCGATAAATTTTGACTTTAACACCCTGAATCGAGTTGTTTGCTGAAGGGAACATCATCTAAAAATATCGGTGTTCAACTGGCTCCTTCGGATCCTCCAGGATTTGGTATAAGTAATTATAACTAGGGGAACGGGGTAAAATGTTTTTACTTTTAAGAAATAGAGTTGAGCTTCAGACGGGTATTTTTACTTGTTCCAGAAAAAAGCCTGCAACTTCGGGCACGTCCCTCTGAAACGTGGCGTCTGACATCTGCCGAGAACCAACAAATGCAGCACGTGCTCAAATTAAACTCTAATAGCTCTTCCAATAGCCAAAAAGGCACCTCCCTATCAAGTATTTTTAGCGACCCTGTGGACGGAAAATTGTTTAATTGCGCACTTCTAAAGAATCCATTACTCCGTGTTTATCGCTGATTTTTTTGACAATTACGCTTTTGTTTCTTTCTTTAAGAGGTTACGCTTTATAGATTTGAATCTTTATTCACATCGTCACTCTACCAACAAATCGCAATCGCACCACCACCAATTACTATAGATTAGTAATGCAACTTCTCTGAGAATAAGATCGGTGACTTGGTCTAGTTATTGCTTTATTGACCAGGGAGTCTAGGGAGTGATAAGCAAGCAAATTGGCTTCTAACTGTGATCTACAAATATCAAAACTTGGCCACGGGAGGCTTATCTAAAAGATCCCTTACTCTGCATCACATTGTTGAGTTGTTGTGGTATTCTCTAGGCTCTACAAATCGCCTACAAACTCAGTAAAACCATGTGGGCACATGGCCTATTCATTAAGGGGCAACAATCTATAGCTTGCACTAGGGGGACCAATGGGCAGGAGAATCAAGAGGGGGCTTACTTTTTCTTTTGTATGTACTCGACTTTATGACTTGGTTAGAAAAAAAAAACAATTGCTCTTTTAGCAAAAGGAAAAAGACTAAATTCCATCTTTAAGGACATCCTATATATTATATTGAGAGAACAAACTTGATATTTTAAAAGAATTCATTAGTTTTGTCTTAAAAAAAGTAATTAGATCATTATAATTAATCAAATATAATATGTAATATAAAAATATCAGAACATTTAAAGAATCTTTTAATTAAAAATAGATCATTATATCAGATTTATTTTTTCACGTTCTAAAATAAAGTGAGAGAAACCATAATATATGTACACTGTCTAGTTTACTTTTGATTTCATGCAGAATGTTCTGGCTATTTAAAGAGTTTTATTTAATTTTTGAAAGAAGACAAAAAGATTTTAAGAATGTTTTTAAAACATAAAACATGGAAATTATATGGTGAAATCAATTTGTTACTTCTCTACAAAATAATGCATTAAACTAATCTTACTCCAGTGTGAACTGAAACACCATTAGAACATGCATGACTAATGAAAATGAATGACGTTGGCCAAATTACGTATTATCTGACGAAGGGTTTGCTCCGATTTTTTCATTTGCTCTGATTTTTCAAAAAAAAAAAAAAGAAAAAAACAACACGAACAAAGTAAGGGAGGAAGAAGAGAAAAGGCTTACTTGAAGGAAGGAGGGTTGGAAGGCCACTCGGGAACATACTTGTCAAGAGGATAACAGTGTAATCGTAGATAATCTCTCCAGTTGTGAACCTTCTCCTTGTTGACATTAAAACTGGTTGAAAGTCTTATTGTCTTGGAAGGATCATCTGAGTAGAGCTTCATCTTCTCCTCCAGCGGCAGCCCAAAGAAATCATGCGCCACTTTTAACATTCTTTCCACCGCTTCTTTGGAAACTCCGTGATTAATAACCTGATGATATGAGTAATTAATCCCCACTTCATAAACCAACACTATCAAGAAAAAGACAGATGCGACGATATCGGAAACCCAGGGGAATTTCAAATCGACAAGAAAAAAATTGCGGGTATTAGCTAGCTCTACCTGAAAAAATCCATAGTACATGCAGGCAAGAGAAATTTTTTGTATAATTTGGCATCTGTCCTCACACCCCAAGTCTACGACAGGGATGTTTTCGCATTCGGACACTTCAGATAAGCGGGGACGCTCAGATTCCGGTCTCACATAACTTTCTGGCAAGTTAGTATGGCGGATTCCAGAGGAAAGAACTTTTGCATCCATGTCAAACTATTAAAACACGACAACAACCAAAAAAGAAAAAAGAGCACTTGGAGGGGAGAGTAAGGGAGAGCGTTGACAAGGACAATGAAAGGGCAATACGCCCAAATTCATCAGCTTCTAAGAGAATGAGTACCTACGTTCACGCTTTAGATTATATTTTTATTTATAGACGTGGATAATGTGTTACGGCAAAAGTCCTCCAATCCAATTACATAAGTAGAAACAAAATTAAATAATTAAATAATTACATAAAAGATAATAATTTGACGTGATTTGATTTAATTGATCTACGTTTACGGATGAAAAATAAGATCCATTAAGTATATAAAATTACAATCATACAAATTAAATCAAACACTAATAACTAATACCTATAGATTCTCTCAATCTTTTTTAGTTTTATGAAGTATTTTCAACTCAAACAAATATATACCTATGTGTACTTTTTCAATAAAATAAACACATACTCATATGTACTCATTCATCTTATTAATGTATAATCTCTCTATCTCATCTAGTTTACTACTATGAACCATATTTATGTAGACGCTCTTAAAACGTAAATCTTCAATAGTCGTATGAGATATTTATTCCATAAAATCTTATAATTATTTTACTTTTTTTTCATACCTAATTCTGCAGAGATTTCACCTATTTATAACGAATGCAAACTTACTTATTAAGAATATTTTTTCTTTTAGAATTCTTCTTCTGCAAGTCAAACTTGCTTATTAAGAATTCATTTTTTTTTAGAATTCGTCTTTTGGAAGTTTTTTTGTCCATAAAGTAATATTTAGCTAATTCCAAACAAATCTCTTATAGGATTTGAGTTATTATTTCTAATATAATGGACAATACTGTCTCCTTTTTGAGTAAGTATTTTTCATTAAATTTGGACTGAGTTTTCAAATTTATCTAATAACATTCATATCTAAACTAATTAAATTGTAAAATTACCCTATTTCTTTTTATAAAAAAGTGATAGATAACTATAGATATCATAAAGACAATTTAATGATATAAAATTAGTAAATTTCATCAATTACATAAATAAATACATATATCATATTGATGAAGGTATCTTTTAAGAAAAACTAGTATGATGGTCATGTTTTGCTATGAGTTTTTTTTATTTAAAATAATTAGATTTGATAATTTCAGATACGACATAGTTGTACGACATGAAAATAATACAGAAAAAATTGTATATATATTTTTAAAAAATTTGTTTCGTGTTTATTTGTATCGACATGAATTTCAACACAATATAATTTATATCGTATATGTGTTGATCATCTAAATACGTGACATAATATGAATAATATATTTAATTTAATCTTATTATACGAATATACATTTTAACACATTTTTTATATCTATTTTAATTTAATATAAACGTATAAAGGTTATTTTAATTTTTAATCTTTTAATTATGATACTTAATTAGCTATTTAATATTATACAAAAATTATTTTAAACATTTAATTATGATACTTATTTAATAATTATTATAAAATTATTTTTTATATTAATAATATAAATATAATATAAATATTAATAATAGTCTTATATATTATTATTTTATTCTTTAATCTCTAATAATTTATCATTTTGAATTTGATACCAAAAATTAATATAGTTATATAATATAAATATATATAAATATATATATATATATTAAATACATATTAAATGAATATTAAATTTTTTTTATTTTTTAATATGTAAGTACTTTTTTATAATATTAACATGCCAAGTTTATTAAGTTGTAAATGATAGATAGTTTATAATTATTTATTATTTATTCGTGTCTATTCGTATATATTCGTATTTGTTATATTTATTAGTGTATATTCGTATTATTTATGTTTATTCAGATCATGTTTAAACGAATTAATTGTATACGTGTTAATCATATCGTGTTACGTGTAATATGTATATTAAATGTATTGTATTCGTATTTAGGATTTAAAAACATTTTATAATTTGTGTCGTGTTAATGTTTTAATAATTTGCATCATTATACATGTCAATTACGACACGAACATAACACGAAAATACGAATTGCTAGGTCTAAGCATAATTAAAATTTTAAAATATATAAAATTTTTATTTAATTGAAAAAACAGTATACTAAAAATAAATAATCAAAAGAAAGTAAATCTAAAAATTTATATATACCAAAGTAAAATATAATATATTAAATTTATTGAATTGAGTATACTAAGAAATAAATAATCAAAGTCAATATAAGAATTTATGTATAAAAAAAAGGTAAGATATAATACATCAAATTTATTGAATTGATCATAGCTTATAAACTATATCTATTACATTTTTATAAGGACAACTTCATGAATCATAATTAGACAAATATAGTTATTAAGGGAACATGTCCATGTACTATCAAGATGATAAAACTATGTCCTTTACAAAACAAAAAACTGATTTACAATGTTTTATATTACAAAACTTCTAATACATAAGAGATGTGTGCTTAATTTTTTCCCAGACATCATATGCTTACAATTCTAAAATTCAGTCATTGAAAGAAAAAAGATATTTTGATTCATTATTTGAGAAATAGAGATAATAGAGCATTAGCATGCATTTATACTAACCCTTGTTAAGTCATATATTAAATCTTTTTCTACTATTCAATTTTTTTTTTGAAAAGTTTTTATTCTACCTCTAATCCCACTCAACTCCACTATCTATAGTAAACTATAGGAGCTTACTTGATTAGGGGAGGGGATTACGCCTTGAACGTTGACAACCCTCCAAATGCCAATACCATGATGCCACTAAACCAAAGGCTCATTGGCTCTACCATTCACATGTCATTCATCAGCGAATTCCAATAAAAAAAAAGCCATACAATCCAATTTAAAGCCAGAAACCATTAAATAAATGTCTAATTCAGCTTAAACTTAAAGCAAACCAACAACATTCTTCATTACCTTGGTTTTAAATAAATAAAGAAAAAATAACAAAATTATCAAAACTATATTCCTGAATTCAACTAAATCAGGCATCACATAAAGATAGTAAATAATGAAATTTACCTGTAATTACTTGTTTGCAACCTAACCTTGTAAAAAGATTGCACTCCTTAAGCTATTAGATGATAAATTATTTTCTTCCAAGGTTTTTAAACAAACATTCAGTTCTATTGACGACAAAAGATGTCAAGGTTTTGTAAAGTTGTAATAAACTTCCCCAACATTGGGTGTGCTACATCAATTTCTCTAATAAACATCATCTTAAAAGTTATTTTCTTTTATGATATTCTAGGTGCAGATACAATTTATTAATTTGAAAATAAATCGATCTTGTCAATTATCTTTAACTTGAAACTAAAAAAAGTTAGATTGTTTACTCATACCTAAAAATGAGCATTAAATAAGCGCTGGGAGGTTTTTAAGATAAAAAATCATTTATTTTTGTCTCTGCAAAATAAAGCAAGTACCGTCTTAAAATTGAATGCAAAATGGTAAAACATAGTGTGCAAATTTCACTCTTATAAGAAATCATGATGTTTGAATTGCATTACTTTTCAATCATGTTGTTTATATTTTTAATTGAATATGATATATGATTGTTACTATTTACGTTATTTGTAGAAAAAACAATTTAAATTTCTCAATCACCTAGGACAACAACATCCTAAAAACCCAAAAGAAAAACCAATTCACTTGATTAAGCGAGATACCAAGAGAAAATGTTTGCTTAACTAAAACATAGTCAAGAAAGCTTGAAAATTATATCACGATAAACTAAGTGCATAAAAAAATAATATAATTTAAAGTGATCTAACCAAGAAGAAATGAAGAAGAAAATAGGCCACCAAGGTTATGGTTTAACGAAAACTGTTTAAACTTCAAATTTAGATCTAGAAATAGAAAAAAAAAAAGGGCAAATCAAATAAAAACAAAAGAAATTCCATAAACAAAACTGGATTATTTTAACAAATATTTCAAAGGTAAATATGAACTTTGCTTTGCTTAATCCAATTATAAATATGTGAAAACTAAATTTTGATTAAATCAGTTTGTCATAACATATAGATCAATAGACCTACCGCTAGACATCGATTAAAAGAGTTGTCACAAATCTTTTTTATTTAGGTGTGATTGACTACCTAATTAAATTTGTCCCATTTAAAGTGGCGTCTCAAGTTTGACTTAAATATCTTTAAATAGTATATTTTAGTAACGAAATTAGATTTTAGGTTCAGGAGTATAGTTATGCTTAAGAAAGGTTATAGCACCCTCACACCACTCATCCAAAGGATGGTATTAGTTTGATTTCAAATTATCAAAGTCTTAAATATGTTTATATTTTACCAAAATATTTAATGTTAAAAATTAATCCTAAAATTACTCAAATAGTTTGGTAGCAATTTAAAATAATTCTCTAACATCAAGAGTATTCATGAAGACTAATGTCTCACCCTGAAGAAGCTCCGTTGTCAGATTTAGTAATATATTTTATTCAAAAAAATTAGTAAAGTTTTCCAATAATTTGGTAGGATTTACTTTTACGCAAATATCCCAATAGTTTAATGAGATTTTATTATGAAATATTTATAAAATTTATTTTTGAGAAAATTCATTAAATCTCCTAATAGTTTGGTAAGATTTAATTTAAGATGCAAATCTTCCAATAGTTTGGTAGGATAAAATACAAAGTCTTTATTAAAATATTTTTTTCTTTTGAAACTTGATTTACGAAATTCTCTAATAGTTTGGTAAATTTCGTAAAGCTTAAATTTATGAAAAATCCTTCAATAATTTAGTAGGATTTATGAATCGATTTTAAAAACATTTTATTATTATTATTTTCATAAATAAGTTAAATGAAACTCACAAAGAAAAAAATTATAATAATAAGTAATGTATTCTTTAATTTAAAATAAGAAATAATAAGAGTAAATAAAATAAAATAAAATAAAATAAATAAAAAGAATAAAATCAAAATAGAAAATGGAGTGAAAAATGAAAAAAAATACCTACGATTGGGTCGGGTTGTGCATGGTAAAATACGCAGATCTATATGCCTTAAATTTTAAGCTTTTTTTCATAAATGTTTAAGTATGCCTTTCTTTCTAAAATGGTTATTCTTCTATCTTTTCTTTAACTGATTTA